AGAGGTGATCGTGTGGCTGCCTATAAATTCATCAGGGGAGGGCAGCAAGGAATAGGAGATGCTCTATTTACTAGGGCACCCCCTGGAGTAACTAGGAACAATGGCCACAAATTGATGGACAGCAGATTTAGTTGGACATTAGAAAGAATTTGTTTATGGTGAGGGTTGCCAGAAGCTGGAACGGGCTTCCAAGGGAGGAGGTGCTCTCCCCTACCCTGGGGGTCTCCAAGAGGAGACTGGACAAGCGCCTTGCTGGAGTCGTCTGACCCCAGCGCTCTTCCCTGCCCAGGGCAGGGGGTTGGACTTGATGATCTGCTGAGGTCCCTTCAGACCCTAATATCTATGAATCTATGATTGTCCCTAACCTGCTCCCTCACCAGAGCTACAGCAACCATAGAGTGAATGGTCCAGGGGGACTGAACTCTCCTCTCATCCCCAGGAAAAGCTCCTTCCCATGGTGATGGAGACATTCATGGGGCAGTCCCTGGCAGGGTCCATGTTGGGCCCGAGTTGAGTAAGCAGAGGCCTTTAGCCTCCATGGCTCTATGGTGCGGAGGGCTGGTTAGAGGATGAACAGCACCCGATGGGAGGGGTACAACCTAGCTGCTAACATTGCTTTGTTCCCTTTCTCAGCCAAAAAATTTCAGTCGCAGCTCTGGGGAATGATTTTAAATGATCCCAGTGGAAGACCCATTTCAGATACACAACCCCAGCAATCCGTAGATCAAAGGTCCAGGCCCCATGAGTGCAGGGACTGATGGGCACGTGCGAGGGAATAATGCAGACACATTGAAATGGGAACAGCCCCCAAATGAAGGTGAAATTCCCTTTTCCGGTTGCCAGGGCTTAAGCAGATTAAATCTGAGCTCATCAGATAAATGATTAGAGAGGGGGAAGGGGAGAGTTCAGAGAGGGGTCATTGCTGGGTTTCCCCTCCCTCCCCTACACCAAACCACCCACCGCTGCTGAAGGATTCTCACTTAATTACCCGTTCCCATGGAAACCAGCTCCCTCTTAGCTGAAGGCCTCCATTGCCTCTCTGACCTATATTCAGCTGATTTGGGATCTCATGCTGCACTTGGTACCTGCCCTTGGGGAGCAAATGCTCTCAGAGGAGGCACTTTAATGTAGAGGGAGCAAGGAAAGCCTGGAAAGGCCACGGGAAGCCTGTTCCCCTCCTGGCAGAGGAGCAAATTCCTAAGCAGAGGAGCAAGACCAAGTGGTTGCCTGGCTTTGGGTTATACTACATTTTATAGGAGCTCAGGATATCCAGTGCCAAGGACCACCCTCTTAGGGCTTCAGGTCAGGCCTGGATTTGAGGGTACCAACATGCACATGAGATTTCAGACCACACTGCAGTGGCTAATCCCCGATACAGGGGGAAGTCAATTCCTCCACAGATAGAAAGAGCTATGGCTCTGCCTGCCAATGTTCACAGGCTGTTTAGTAATGCAGAATCACCAAAGGTCCCAGGTGTGGCTAGGGAGCCAGTGTGATTTTGGGGGGCTTAGTCACACAGCTGGATTTGGAGGTGAAGTCATTTGTGGAGGGCTGTCCCCATGTGGATTTTGGAAGCTGCAATAATCTAGATCACTAATTTTCAACCTGTGGTCCGCAGACCCCTAAGGGGTCTGAGAAAGATGACTGTGATCAATCAAAAGTATGTAACTAACCCACATTTACCATTCAAAGGGGTCCACAATCCCATTCAAAAATTTTTAGGGGTCTGCAAATGAAAGAAGGTTGAAAACCACTGATCTAGATCATTAACTAAACTGCCGATGAATCTCATCTAGGACAGCAGAAAGCCCATCTTTACAGAGGCATGGTGTTGCACCCAGGCTGCACAGCTCTGAATTTCTGGGATCTATCAGCAGTGGGTTTAGTAACAGGGGTCGGTGTGGACGTGGACCTGAACTTCCCTGAAGACTCGGGGCATGTTCACAGAGGAGCTTTGCTTCGTGTCTGGCATTAAATATGACACTAGGGAAGAAGGATGTGCATAGCACCTAGACCTAGCAGATCCCATGCAAGGTCAAGGTGAGATGACAGCACAATTACTGGTGTCACCCCATCCCCAGAAGTCAGATTCATGGTTTCTTCCCACTGGAGACACCTTTGTCCCCAGGCAGGGGCTTGACTGTGTATGCAGACAGCGTGCTGCAGATCTGTGTCCATAACAGATACACAGGGTTAGTAGTTCATCGAGAAGCCCCAGGTGGGCTGGAAAGATGGGTACTCACTCTTTCACAAAGTTGTGCAGTTGTTGTCGGACTGACCTCTGAGCCTGGTCAAAAAGGATCTGAGAGAGAAGAGAGAGAAGGTCATAAAGAATAAAAACAGGAAACTTTCCCCAACCTGAAGTGAATGCACAGCTCTGAGAGGATCAACTGCCCTGGCGCGATGGTTTTCCACTCTGCCAGTGCTATAGGGGAGGTTGAGGCTTAATTCTGCCTAAGGGCCCAGCTCAGCTCTTGGGCTGAGGAGGACTCCTCACTTTTACATGGAAGACATGGGTTTGATCCTCAGCCCACTTCTGCTGACTCAAAGACACTGTGCCATGTAGGGCATCTGCACAGCCTCCCACATAAATAACAATGCAGCGGTAACAGGTTCTGGGTGCCAGCCGTCAGTGCGAGGGTGGAAAGCAAGAGCATGTCCTTCTCAAAGCTGGCTTGTTGGCTCCCCCATTTCTGCAAATGTACTGGGTGCCCTGAGTAATCTTTGGAGAAGCAAGGTGGCATTGCACAGACAGACAGCAGACGCCGAGCTGCTGCGTCTGGCTATGCTGAGAAAAACAGGTTGGCTCCCCAGAGGCATTAACTACAATCCTGACCGGGAGAGTCAATAAGTGCTCTCTAGGATGCTGAGTGGTGGGACGCTGGCAGAAGGCCTGCTGCCTGATGTGACCACAGTCAATTTTGAACTAATAGCATTCAAGGGTCCCTCAGCAGAAGCCTTCTGCATTCTCCCTCCCAGGATCCAGTGAAGGTCCTGACATGTCCCCAAGACAGCGTGTCTTAACATGCACACACCCAAGGTTCCCCAGCTTTTGCAGAAAGGGGCCACTTGTACCCGTGCTTTCCTTAGGAGCTTGAGTTTCAAAAGGTGCCTCCAGGGGTGTAGGTTGTAGCCATGTTGATCTAAGGACACAGGCAGACAAGGCTCTTTGGGTGAATCTGGTCTCTTTTATTAGACCAACTTGAACAGTTGGAAAAAAAAATCTTAAATTCGAAAAGCTTGCTAAGACAAAAATTTCCAGCTATTTAAGTTGGTCTAATAAAAGAGATCAGATTTACCCAAAGAACCTTGTCTGCAAAAGGTGCTTCCAGCTTTTTCATATTGCCAGCAGAGGGCACCATCACCTCAAACTGCACCCAGTCTCCAGATTTTAGGAATGATCCCAGGGAGTAGGGACACTGGGCTCTGACGACACATCACAGCAAGAAGCACAACACCCCAGTCTTCCCCCGTAAGCACCAGCTCTCCGCACACTGGAGATACCGTGGCCACGTTCCACAGCATCTCAGGGAACGGAGGTACGAGTCAGGGCTGAGTGTTGACCAAACACTGGCACATCTTGCTGCTCTGAGGTTTAGAAGGTTACAGAAAGGGACATTTCTTCTCAATCTGCCTCTTCACCTCTGGACCTCAAGCCCTGACTTGGGAGACCCACAGTACCAGCAAAGGGGTGCATATAGTTCCTATGTCCCATTCAGCCCTTGCACTTCTTATGGCCAAAGCCAGTTATGGATGTGGAGGATGTCTGTTTAATGGGAATAGGACTGAGACCTGCCAGACTCAAGTGTTTGGCCCATGCTTGAACCTTTTCAGACTGGGTTGTCCAGGGTTCTCCCTGCAGTGCGAGTCCTCTCTTCCAAAATCTTGCTATTCTGCTTAATGTTGGCTGCAGTTTTTTCCTTGAAGCTGATTCAGCCCCAAGAGTAAGTTCAAAGGAAGGCTCTCAGCCAATGTCTGTGAGGCTGCCACGAGTCTCTGGCAAGGCTGCAGTGCTGAAGAATGATGTTTTTAACCCCCCTGTAGTAAAAGCGCCTTTTCCCACTTAAATTCTTTTCTGCACCCAGGGGCAGTCCTGACTCCCACTGCCTCTAGTAGCAATCCTGGCTGAGGAAGGCCCCAGCTTTGAGACATCATACCATGGCCCCTGCAACGGCTGTCCCTCCCTCCCTTGTCTAAGTGCATTCTGCATCTTTTTATGCAGGTCATTATGTGAGATGGCAGCTGATGAGATGCAAACTGCAGAGCTCCAGACTTCCCAGCCAGGGATCTGTCTCTGGGAGGAAGAAGCCGTCATCCCACCCCAGGCCACCCACTGCAGCAGACACTGTGCCCAGCACAGCTGGCTTTGCACAAGGTAGCTGTTTGCTTTCAGGACAAGAGAAGCACTGGGTTTCAGAGCAAGTCCTCTGAGTACTTCACCCATTGCAGAGCATATTCTGGCCTCAGGACTGGGACCTTGCACCTACAGGTCACTAAAAAGCATTCCAATCACTTACTGCATAGGAGATTTATGGATGCAATCTTCACAAAACCCAGATATTACCATGAGAGGCGCTGATATTAAATCTAGTGAAAGGGATAGTTCTAAGGACCTATCAACTCTGAGTAACCCTTTCAGATCTCCTAGTGCTCTATGCAGACCCTTAGGATAATTACTAGCTCTAAATGCACCATCCCTAATTCTTTTCATCACTAAGTACTTGGCAAAGGAGGTCATTCCGCTTATCCCCACTTTACAGATGAGAAAACTGAGGGAAAGGGAAGTGACTTGCCTATCTCTAGCCTATGGCTACCAGTGGCAGATCTGGGAGTGGAATCCAGATGTTTGAAGTCTGAAACAGAGGAGCAACAAACAGCTGGCAAGAGCGCCAAAAAGAGCCAGTTACAGCTAAGGAAGGAGGTTTTTCAAAAGTGCCAGAAGGCTTTAGGAACATAAATTGTATTGTCTTTCAGTTGGACTTGTGCTCCTAAATCCCTTAGTCTAATAGTGAAAACTGGTCAGAACAAGGCATTTACTATGCTTGTTTTGCTTGAGGGAAACACTTCTCTGATAGTCCACTGAAACAGAGCTCAGAGTGATACATAAAACAGTATTACAGTCACACCAATATCTCCAAGGGCTTCACAGACTACCAGATACGATCCAAACAGTGCAATAATTTGTAGGCAAAGGCAGCAGTGTGGGACATCTGCTCTCTATAGCTATGTGCCTCCTAATCCACTTCCATTACCAAGAGAGGGACTGATGGCCTGGACACTTGGGTGGCGTGCCTGCCTGACGCTTTCTGACAGTACCATGAGACTTCACATCCTAATGTAACATCTCAGTGGGTCGGGGCCTATTAGGACAGAAACACACCAGAAATACTGAGCAGCCAGCCACTAAAAATAAAGAGAAGGCCCAAAGGATTGTGGATAAGAGGTTTCAGCAATAGTATTGGCTGCACCCTCAAGTACATTCATTATGCAGATGACTGCAGCCAAGGACAAAGCAAGGGTGGGTGCCACCGCCTAGCTGAATATGAACAGCTAGGAATGGCATCTAAATATGAACAGATGCAAGAGGAAGGGGGGTAGGACCTGGACCACCCACCTTCCTGGCTTCACCAATGTAAATTCTTTGCTGCTTTTGGCACCCATTTGCCCTCCTGGAAAATACTACAAGAGCTGTTGGCCTATGTTTCCTATGCAGGCTGCTCCCCAAGTGATGCTTATGTGTTGACGGCGCTTCACCGCGCTTGCAATGCTGAGCACGGAAAGGCAAACAGCAACGAGGCCATCTGGTCTCCACCTGCACCCACATCTGGAGAGCCTCCACGCTTGGCTTCCGGCAGGGTGACATATTTGCTGGAGTTGGGGAGAGTGGACGCTTTATGCTGTTGGCCGTAAGGGTGCAGCCAGGCCCACTTGGGGGGGATGAGCAAGTAAGCTCCAAAGCAGGGATAGATTGGAAGGGATGTAACATCAAAGGAGGGAGCTGGCAGATGGGCTTGCTCAGCTTGAAGGATAGTGCAAATGCCAGGGCAGTGCATTAAACAAAGCACATGTGAGCCTAGGGATGGTTTCTTAGAGCCGCAGCAAACAGACCATGATCCCAGTGTCCTGATCACATCAGCTGGGTTGTCTGAAAGTTGGGATGCGACAAGGCTGGCTCTGCACACTGATGCCTGCCTTGGGAGATGGGGCAGGTCTTGCAAAGTTTCTGAATGGGAGGATGTCTCTATAGTGCACACAATATTACTACTTTCTATGGGTGGATTCAGTACGGGTAGAAACAAGACCGAAGCCAAGCATCGTGCAGAAAGGTATCCTGCCAGCATCCCCACCCTCTTCAGCCAAGCACCTCTCTCCTCCTGACCTGCCGTCATGCTCCCGTTTCAGCCCAAGGTCCCACACAGCTCTGCCCAAGCCCCTCGCTTCTGACTAGCAGCGGTCCCCGCAGGCCTGAGTCGAGATAGCTAGATGGTGTTGTGATGGGATGCCGTAATGGATAGGCATTTCATGCCAGCAAAGGCTCTTAATAAATATGCTGAGAGTCCCTCCGTGATACCAGCTCTTCTCATATTGCTTCTTCATTTATTTTGCCTGCCAAGGTCAACTGGGAAATTTTTACCAATGGCTCCTCCATGGGATTTTCAAAACAAAATTAGCAGATGAAATGAAAACAGTTTTACGGGGTTGCTTTTTACATCCAAAATCATTCCCTGGCTTGTTCTTACTTCCCAGGCATGTTCAGAATAAATCATTTGGGCTAAGATTTTCCAGACTATGTGTCACCCCACCCTTTCTCCTCCCCTCAGCCTAGCCACGGGGATTGCAGTCCGTGACTCACCTCTGGTAACAGCACACAGGGTCCGCACAAAGATGGAGGGGGGGCAAACAGACTTCTTATCCATCTGGGGAAAAAGCAAGACCCTGAATATTCCCCCCCTAAATGCAAAAGCACAGGCACTGTTTGTGTTCGCTGCTATGTCAATGCACATTGTATTGAAAATGGTGGGTTCCTGGACCACTTGAAGTCCTGGGACATTTTGTCTTTGAGTTTAGTGGGCTAGGATTTCATCCCAGGAGCAGCGAGTCTGGACCAGGAAGCACAATGCATGGTTATCTTGATGCCTGGACATGTCCAAGGGGAGGATCCATATCGCCAAGGCTTTTGACTCCAAGTAAATGAACTGGGAGGATTACTTTGTACAAGAAGAGAAGCTTACCCTAATTGCTAGGCAAAGCAGAAGCCAATGCAACCACCTCTGAGATGGGACATTACAACTCTCTTCAAAG